TGGGCTCTTAGTTACTTGTTTAGATCACTTGCTTTGCTTTTCCAATTGTTTGAAATGGTGCTTTGTGTGTGGTTTTTGAAAATGTTTTGAAAAAGAGGCCATCGTTGTGGCAACCTTTGTAATGATTCTTTTTTGGATGTATACAAAGGTGTATTGTTTTTTGAAAAGATGTTTCAATGTTTGATTGTTTGAAAGTTTGTTTTGGGAAATGTTTTGAAATTGTGTTGTGAGGTGTGTTTGAAAATAGCAAAGATGTTTTTGCAAGTTTTGATCAAGTAACTAAGAGTTGTCTACCCTATCTACTCAAATATCTTTCCTACACATTTTTAACCCTTTTGAAAGTGTTGTTTTACCATTGCATTTGGTAAACAACCTTGTATTAGGATGTTAAACGGGACAGACGTGAGTCATCGTATTGACCATGATAGCAATTGTGCTAGGTATCTTTAGCAAATTTTTGAGGGACTAGATCATTTTGTATAGGCAACCAAGATAGCGTCATCGAGGGACTATGATCTTTTGTTTAGCCAAAATACTCAACATGCATAACATGGCCATTTTAAAGGCAACAAGTGGATGAAACCCTAGGGGTGCATGTGTGCATTGTGTTGTCAATTTACATGCTTTTTGTCTTTGTATTAGTCAAGCTATTTGTTTGATTTTGGATTTTTGCATACAAACCCTAATCTCTAATCATGGCATGTTTGAAAGCATAAAGTGCACAAAATAAACCTAAGTTATTACAACATTGATATGGGGAGGGGGATACAATTTTTGAAAGGGGGGTATTTGCAAGAAAATAAAACCCTAATATTTACTATTACATCCAAATTGAATTCCTTTGTATCAAATAATAAATAAACAATATTTAAATAAACAAATTAAATATAAATATGCAAAATAATCTTAAATATGCAATAAAATGTTTTTGTTTATTTTTATATGCATGTGAAAATATAAAATATTTAATGTATTAAAAAAGAAAATAAAATATTATTTTTTTCGAAAGGGTAGAAAACCCTAATTTTGTTTTAGGAAAATATATTAATTATATTATTTATTTATGTACAATAAAATAAAAATAGAAAATATATACAAGTATCAAAAATAACAAAGTATTAGAAAAATATTATTTTTTAATAAGGGTGGAAACCCTAGCTTTTGTTTAAAGATAATATATACTATATTATTTATTTTATGTACAAGAAAATAAATATAAATATACACAAAGATATTTAAGAAATAAAAACATGTGGAAAAATATTATTTGTATGTATAAATAATAAAATAAAAAATATATAATACTCTAAAATATTTATTTGTTTTTATTAAAGAAAATAAAAAGTATACATTAATTAATAATTATTTTCATGTTAGAAAAATAATATAAAAATATAAAAATAAAATATGAAAATTTATAAAAATATTTTTGGTATTTTTTATATTTAGAAAATATAAAATAAAAACAGAAATGAAAAATAAATGCAAAAATACAAAAATATAAAGAAATGGGTCAGGGGGGTGCAGTCAGCAAGGTAGGGGGTGCAAAAAGTGAGCCAAGCCAAAGCCCAACCCACTGAACTTCATCTTCAACCTTTGTCAAACAAAAACGCGCACTCTGTACAAATATCCAGATCATGCATACATGCTCTAATGCGAAAACTCATAACATCAAAGTTGTAGCATTTTTCAAGACGATTCCAACCATGTAAAGAACTCATTCTAACTCTCAAAGACCAGAGAGAATTTCTCTGGCCCTAAATTCTAACCTAATTTTTTCAAGAAGTTCATGGATCAAATTCTCTTAACACGTTTAACTTAAATGAAAACTGAGCATATGTACAACTTCAGGGCTATGAGTACTACATTTTTTATTCACAAACCTAAGCCTAATGATTCCTAAATAGAGAGATAGGAAGTTGCAAAATACCTGTTTAGGTTGAACAAGAATATGGTAATGTGGAGCTTTTCAGTGAGGCCTGAGGTGCTTGGGAGCTTGCTTGAACTTCCTCTTACCTTCCCCAATGCCTAGTTTGCCTTGGATGTGCTTGAACAAGCTTGTAGAACTCAACCTGCACAAGCTGAAAACAGAAATGGTGAAGGTTGCAAATGGAATTACAGTCACTGCCTAATGATTGGGATAGCTTGGATAGGTTATATGGAAGGTGTTTGAACAGGTTTGGGGCAAAACGCACGAGTGGTTTGTGAGATAGAACTCAAAGTGCAGAAGTTGCCCTGTTTTGCAAGAGGAAGGTGATTTTGTGTTTTGGAAGGTTTGAGGGCTCAATGGCTCATGTTTCTGGCTCAAGGGAATGTGTAAAACTTGTCTCTAAAGCTTGCAAGAGTTGGTTCTCTCTAATATGCAAGTTGTGTTGTATTTGACAAGTTTCTTGGTTTTGAAGTAAGAAATGAGAGTTGACAATGTTATGGTTGTACTGGCTTGTACTCTAGCTGCTCAAAATGGTGGAACTTTGCCTGACATTAGGAAGATTTTTTTGCAGCAAAGGACTTGGTGTATGGCTCAAGAAATATAATTTGACATAAAGCATGCTTTATGTAAATGGTATTGCTCACTTTTTGCCAAAAATGGATTTATTCATTGTGCAAACCTCTAATGATCAGAATAACATCTTAAACCAATGAGTTTTCATTCAATTTTTGAGTGTTGAAGGGTTTAGAGACCTGTAATCAAGTACAAAGCAAGTTTGGACAGATTTTGCAACTTGTGTCAGCATGAAAATGCCATGGATCAAAGTGAGTTTTTTCCAAATTCAAATCTTCGATTCTCCCTAACCATAAATGATTTTGGAGAGTTCTTGGACATTTTGGAAAGCTTGTAACATGCTCTACAATCCATCTTTGAAATGTATTTTTATATTCCAAGTTAAACTATGTGAAAAATGGTCATGAAGGTAGGTTAAAATCCTGCCTAAATTAGGGCAAAATTTCACTAAGTTAAAAGTTTCATGGACCCTTGTTCCAAAAATCATAACTTGAGATCCAAACTTCTTTTAAGAAAACTTTGTAAATAAAAGTTGTAGACTTTGTGGAGGAATACAACTTTCATGTTGGAAATTTTGTTTGAATCCAATTGCATCAAGGTGAAAATGTTGGGCAAAGTTGGGAAAAATTAAGAAAATTTCATAACTTAGAAAAATTATAAGTTATGAAAATTTTCAATCTTAAACCCTAATTTGAAAAATTAGGTTTCTTGATGAACAAGTTTCATGTTTTGACATATATTGATGAAAAATGACCCTTGGCACTTGATTTTGACCCAAAAAGTTAAAGTTTGACTTTTCAGTGTACAGTCAAACTTTGATTAGTTGACTGAAAAATTCATCTGTCAATCCAATGTATTTGAGATCTTTTGAACCTTGTGATTAGGTCAATATGATTCCATTGAGTCCTTGAATCCATGCTTGAACCCAATTTGCCATTGGCTAGGTTAAAAATCAGAAATTGCCCTTCTGCAGTCAAAACCCTAAAAATGATCATTTTGCTCTTTTGATGATCTGATCAAATTTCTTGAGGAGTTGTGGTCCAAACTTGATCAAATGGTTCATATGAGCCTATAATGTTGATATGGATCAAAAATTATGAGGTTTGACTATAAATTGGTCACATTTGACTTTTTCCCCAATACATTTGATTTCTAGGTCAAATGTCCAATTGACTGGGCAAAAATTTGATTCAAGGCTTGAAACTTGGTAGAGGAAATCTTATAGGTCCAACATGAAGTATGAAAGTCACATTGAGCCTTGGAAGTCTAAAAATCTCTGTGCAAACTCAAACCCTAATTTCAAGTCATCAGTGCAAGGAGATGTCTTGAGCAGAGCAAACCCTAATCCTGTCTGGAGTCCAAAGAGTCTTGTGAGGGAAAATCTTGATAAAATGAGAGGGTAAATTTTGGGGTACAACATTCAGCAAGCAAAGTGACATTGGTTTGAGTCTTGTTGAAGGCAATTTTTGGGATTTTTTTGTGAAACTTTGGTGACCTTGGTAATGCCACACATGCATAAATAAATGCCGTTTGTGAGAATTAGACGAAAATGATCTAAATGAAGTTATTTGAAAACATAAGGGATTACATTGAAACTTTTAAAAATTAAGGACCAAAACAGGTATTTTTCCTAAATAATGTCAAGATACTTGCCAGGTCTTTAATGGCATCAACCTCCAAGATAATACTGATAGAATCAATATTGGTGATTTGCTCAATATTACTGGGAAACAAAACCTTGGACTCATAAGCATTAACATGTTGACGAGAGTGCTAGAAAAAAATCTAAGATATTATTTTTTTTGTAATTTCTTGATCAATGGATACCTTAACTATAAGAATGATATTATCAGTATACATCAAGTGGGATGCTGAAGGTCCATCACAACCAAACTTTATTGGCTTCCAAGAATTAATTTGTATTGCGTTCATGATACAACGCCTAAGAAACTTCATATCAATGACAAAGAGATAAGGGGACAGGATCACCTTATCTAAGGCCCCAAATAAGAGTAAATTCTTGAGAAGGATGACCTTTCCCATTGATAGTCATATTGTATTAAAAATGGATATATTATAAGGCTTCATTTGAAGTTTGAATTTCAATCTCCAACATTTTATTTTATATACAAATAAAGTAACATATATAATTCATTCTAGTTTATCTTTAAAGTAGTTCTATCATGTGTAGGATGTGTGTGTTTATCTAATATATTTATTTTCCACAAAATTTGCACAAATAATGATAACGAATATGTCATATCTTTAAATTTGATTTCAAAAGAATATTCGTGACTTAGGGATAGAGAAACATAAATGAATTACATACCAAAATTATACAAAAAAAACTACATGCATACATCAATTAATCAGATATAATTCACGTGTAACTAAAAATTATGCATAATGCTCGATCGATACAATAGTAAACTAGTAAAAACTATATGTTTCATTGGATTAGAAAGAACTTATTCAGATAAATAAGGAATACATGAGCTTAAGTACTAAGGAGACAATGAGAAACTTTTAGCTTCAAATATTGTAGTGGTGAGAAAGTTGTGAGATCAAAGCTGAAATAACAAACAAAAAGTTTTTGAACACCAAATTTCTATAAAATCTCTAATCTACTATCAATAACAAACAAAAAACACACATGCAAAATTAAATGGGAGATCCAACATGAGAAAAGACCTGAAACAGAAGGAAGTGGTGTTGAAAGACACGCTACTGCTAATGAGGAAGGTGTGAACTCTGAAAAATGGGCTGTGGTGGGAGCATCGAAGCACAAGGGTAAACGAATCTGAATTGAAAAAGGACATGATTATGGAATATGATGTGGTAATGGATTTGGGGTGTTAGACAAGGGGATTGAGGCACAGTTAATTGAAAATGAGGTCCCATGATCGTTGCTTAGAACATAAGGGGCATTAATAAAAGAGCATGACACATTGAGATAGGGTCTCATCTCAAGAAAATGAATGGGCCTTGTATTGTTTTGTTGGAAACTAGAGTTAATAAGCATAATGCTAATAAAGTGAGACAAACTTTTGGTAACTAATGGCATTGGGTGGATAACTATGATCACCATCCTAATGGTAGGATATGGATCATGTGGAGTAAAAACGATATGATGATTAAGAAAATTGATAGTTCAAACCAAATAGTGCATTGTGAGATGATTAATCATGATGGCTAAAGGATATTTTGGATGACTATAATTTATGTCTAAAATTAACTCAATAATAGAAAGAAACTTTGGGATGATATAAAAATATGGCTAAGAATATTATGGGATCTTGGATCATTATTGGAGATCTCAACAATGTATTAACTGTGGCTGATAAGATATGTGGTTGTCCTGTACATTACAATGAGTTTGAAGATCTTGAGAAGATGATCTTTGATGTGGGTCTCTTTGAGCATGCCACAACTGGAAATCAATTCACATGGTCTAATAAACAAAAGAATGAGATTGTTATACCTTAAAATTTGCCCTCTCTTTTTTCTTCTCAAGACATTCTTTCAAGACTTCTCAGATATTCAAGACACTCAAGGGTTGACTAGTCAAGATGCTCCTCCTAAGCCAAAGGCCTACAACTAAGCTTTGGAGTTTCTCAAGGAACTTTGGTTTGCAAAGGTCTCAAGTGGCTTCCATGGTTCCCCTTAGGTCCTCAACAAGGTTCATGTCAAGTTTCAAGTCATGCATCACAAGTTTGCTCAGTCAATGACTCAGATGATTGAAAATCAATTGTATTGTCAAAAAGTCAACAGTGTTCAACATACAGTCAAACTTCAAAAAATTTGGTCAACATCGACATTTTGAAGAGATATTCATCATTTGATCAAGGGTTGATCATGATTCTAAAAGGAAAGCTCTCAAATCATCAAAAGTCAAGAATTGTCAAATTAGGGTTTCCTTAGGAGAAGTCAACTGAATTTTGACCAGGCATAACTTTCACATACTTCATCAACTTTTCCCCAACCAAAGCTCATTTTGAAGAAAATTCAATTCCCTACAACTTTTTTTATCCTCAATTCCAAAAAATGCTTCATTTGAAATATATGAGCTAAAACATTATAGGTCATTTTCAAAAGTTAATAAAAGACACTTTTTGTCAAGGCAACTTACATTAAGATAAAGTCTTCAAAAGCAAAAATTGTCAACATAGAGATTGTAGAGGGCATCTTGAGCTTTCCAAAAAGTCAAAGATAATCTTCAAAAGATAAAAATAGAACAAGTTATGAGTTGAACAAGTTGGGAGATTTTGAAGAAATTCATGAAGTTCAAATTGGACAATTTTGAAACTTTAAACTAGTGAGCGTAATTTTTTGTGTTCAAATATGTTTACCAAATATTATAAGGCCTCTAAGTCCATTTATACATGGCTTTGATTTTTACTTATATTTATCTTTATTTTATTTTATTTAAAACAAAATAAATTAAATAAATCACAAGAGAGTATGGACTAATGCATGTGGGTTTGATTTGATCAACTATGAGGCTCAATAATTGATGCAAGACACACACATATGACCAGGTTCATGCAAGTCCCAAAATAACAAGAATATCTCAAATTTGGAAAGATTTCAAATTTTTTATTTTTGGTTTGATGAGAGCTTTATGGTTTGATTGATTACCATGTATATCTACTTCTCTCCTCCCTCTATATAATGGACAACAAGTCAGAAGCAAGGGCACGCGTAGATAGTTGCAAGAACACTCTAAATAATCTTAAAATTTCTCAAAGTTACAAAAATCCGTGACTGCAATTCCAGCCTGTGATACGGTGGGAAGAACTGACTGTTTTTTGGAATGCTGATTTGCGTTTTGCGTTTGTTTTCACAAAATATCGCGGTAAGCAAGAGTCGCCACCGACTTTTATTTTATCCAACAAGGAAAGGAAAAAAGCACAGAAAAATTCTTTTTTCGAGATATTTCTGAGTATGGGGGGATAGATTATAAAAAGGGAAGGTATTAGCACCCTTTCTATCCATAGTTGTCTACGGGCTCTTAGGTACTTGATCATCATTTTCAAAATGTTTTCTTTGTGCTTGTGGGTTTTGAAAAGTTTTTGTTTTTAACTTCGATTTAACTCTTGCTTCTGTCTTCCAGAGTGTAATGAAGTGTTTTTGAAAACTTGTTTGAAAAGGAGTGTAAGTGTGAAAAATTTGTTTTGTTTTGGATGAGCAAGTATCTAAGAACTATCTACCTACTCAAAAAAGGAATTGTTCTATGCTAATTTCCTTTAGACAATGCTATCCCACTATTAGTAAGTAGGTAGCACCGTCGTTGGAGTTTGAGGGTCAATTCGAATGAGGGACATACGGTCACTAAAGCAATGTTAGGATATCTTAGCGGTAACCCTAATGTCTTAGATCATGTATTCGAGGCAATAATTTCCGAGGCAACCATTTTGAGGCAACTATGATCTTTTAGACAAGAGGGCGACCTCTAAAATACCTTATACTCAATGACCGTGTACGAAGGCAACCAAGTGGGGTGTACCCTAGAAGTGCGCATGTGCGAGTGTGTTGTTTTCAGTTATTTTTATCTTTGCACATGTTTAGGATGATCTAATTTGATTTTAGATTAAGCATTCATTCTTGTCATGCAAGCCCTATTATCAAACATCTAACAGTTATATAGTTCGCAGAAATTAAAGGTGCGAAAATTAAACTAAATTATTACAAGGCGTCGGGTATTTACATCACCAAAAACAACTCTTTGAAAATAAAATAAAACGGTAAAAAATAAATGTCCTAATTAATTATTACATACCGGGAGAAGATACATCAATTGGATAAAAATAAATAAAGCGCGGCGCGAAATTAAATCGAATGCGAATTAGGATTTTGACCCTTTTAAAAGGAAATTCTTTTTTTGTTGTTTTTATTTTAAGAAAAGAAATTAAATCCTAAATTAAATACTAAATTAATTATAAAATAAATTAAAAAAAAGTTGACATATTTTTAGAGTTTTGATTATTTTAAGAAAGAAAATAAAAATAATAAAACTAAAGTTAAAAACCTAATTAATTCTAATTGATTTTATTTATTTACAAAATACATTAATGTTACCTAATTAATATCCTAATTAATTAATTAGTATTTATTAATTAAAAAAATGAAATTCTGAATTTTAATTGGAGTAAAAATATTTTTTGGTGATTTTTGATTAAAAAAAAAAAAATTTGTTTATTGGTTATTGATTAAAATAAATAAATAAAAGAAATAAATGAAATAAACAAAATAATAGAAAAGTAAGAAAGTGGGCCTAATTTTGGGTGTGTAGAAAGAAAATTCGCTGGCCCATTTGAAGTTGATCCAATTGACTTTTTCTGATTCTGTGTACATGTGTTGACTAGCCTTTTGGTGCACCCTAGATGCTGACCACCAGATATGGCCATCTAGCCATCTGGTGTGTTGATTGATGAGGGAGTATGATGGTCATCAAGCTGGCATGTGCACTGGATTATCTGCAAGAAAACATTATTGAGAAAATAGGGGGACCTGGGATTCGAACCCAGGTCCTGAAGGGGATATACACATTATGCCTGCCACTACACCAATTGTCTTCAGTTGTTCATATGGTACAAATAAATTATAATATAAGAAAACAAATTTCATTGGGTAAATATAAAAAAAATAGCGCGCCTGATTTGAATGGACTAATGGGGGCGTGACACGCATTGTCCCTGTCCTCTGGACCGTGGCTAAAAGTCACAACATCTATACCTACGGACAAATGTCCGTCGCTATATACAGGGGATCCTCCCAAATCTCCCACAGGCCATGGAAACGCATTCTAAAACCATGGTTGAGTTCGTCTCAACCTGCTGATCACAACCATAGCCATTATCATGGCCAATTTTCCCTGAAACAAAAAGCCCTAAAAACAAACAACAAACCCTAGCAATGGTGATCTGTGATATAGGTTAGATAAATGAAATTGGTTATTGTGAAAAGCTTGTAAATGATGTGGTGAATCAGAATATGCAATTGTTTTTTGTCATAGATGCAAGAATAGTATAAATCGAATTCAAGAATATAGCGGATTCGTGAAGAACTTACAGCGCTTGGGAGGGTCTGGAAATGCCTGGTTTTGCCTTCTTTTGCTTGTGGAGATGGCCAGGAAGAGATTGAGACAAGTCTTAGGTCTTGAAATTGCCTCTAGACCTGATTTCGATCTCACACTTTTTCTGTTTTTTTCCAAACTTTGTTCTGCCTCTAGAACTGATTTCCAACCCTTATTTCTGTCTGCATCACTTCCTTATGTAATGCACAATGCATTAGGTTTGAATTTGTTGTCCAAATCTCTCTCCATCAATGACTTTGAATTTGATTTGATTCTTCTTTCAAAGCTTTCCAAAATTGGCTTGATTTCAATCTTTTTTGCACACAATTGATTTGATACGAGTTTGATGATGGCAAGCTCTATAATGGAACCTGAAATCACCACAAAATCTTTGTTATCAATGCCTTTGGATTTTTATTTGATTTATTTTGATTTAAATCAAATTAATTCAAATAAAATCAAAATAATTAATAAAAAATGATATGAACACATGGCCAAGGCTGGAGCATGTGGGCTACAATGCAAACTCAAAACAAGTGAAAAAGAATGGGCCCATTTGGCAAAATTTGAAGTTTTGGGGATAGTTGACTTTTGGCAATTTTGCAAAAAAGTCCAACTTCAAAAATGCATAACTTCCTCAATTTTGAACTTTTGGAGGTGTTCTTGGACTTTTTAGAAAGCTTGAGATGTCCTATAATCAACCCGTTCGGTCTCATCTCATTTTGATATTCAATTCTCAAGTTA